TCACTCACTATGAAAGCAAAAGACTTGGCAGACGATGCAACATCCCCCCAATGAAAAGCAGGGGTGTCACTAGCACGTTAAGAGACCATACAATAAGTGTCAGGGGCCCGAGACTGTTCAACTGCCTCCCAGCATACATAAGGGGGATTACCAACAGACCCCTGGCAGTCTTCAAGCTGGCACTGGACAAGCACCTAAAGTTAGTTCCTGATCAGCCGGGCTGTGGCTCGTACGTTGGTTTGCGTGCAGCCAGCAGCAACAGCCTGGTTGATCAGGCTCTGATCCACCAGGAGGCCTGGTCACAGACCGGGCCGCGGGGGCGTTGACCCCCGGAACTCTCTCCAGGTAAACTCCAGGTAATATCCTGTATGGCCCTTTGTTCCCTTTGTACTTCTTCTGTGTGGTATGACATCCTAAGTTTTTGCTCTAATTCAGTTATCTCTCGGCTAAGCCTATCTTTCCACTGTTATAGCATATTTGTGTTTTTAAGTAGTTCGGTAACCCGTTTTCTTCTTCTGTACCATCTCCTACGCTCTCTCTATATATCTGATCTTCTGGGTTTCCTCAATGGTACGTGCTTCATACATACCTTTTGTCACCCCACACACAGCACCTACCTACCTTACCTTTGATGAGTTCCCAGCTTTTTTCTATATACAGCACATGAAAATAAGATTATTTACAGAAAACTAAAATGGATTTAGGGATGGAAAATCTATCTTACAAATATGCTAGAGTTCCATGACTGAGTCGCAGGGATAAAACAAGAAACACTGAGCTGGGTGGATTGCAGGAAAGAATCTGATCCAGTAAAACACCAGAGATTACATGAATGGTATACAGTACCAAGACAATACCAACAAGATTAAAATTATAAACATGTGCAACATCTGGGTATCTTTATTGTAGACGTTTCGCCATCCAGTGGCTTTATCAATACAAATTGAAGGACATGATTGGAAGACAGTAGAACTATATACAGAGGATGAGATAATCAGTCCCTCCGCCTTGAAGTTTAAAAACACCGTAGTCGTGAAGAGTCTGAAGAACAGGCAAGAAATCTGGTATATAAGCACCAGCTTCCTTGCCTGTGTTCAGAATCTTCAAGAATACGGTGGTCTTCAACTCCGAGGCTGAGGGACTGATTATCTCATCTTTTGTATATACGTAGTTCTACTGTCTTCCAATCATGTCCTTGAATTTGTATTGATAAAGCAACTGGATGGCGAAACGTCTACAATAAAGATACCCAGATGTTGCACATGTGTCTAATTTTCACCAGAGATTTGTCTAGAAATTGGAAGAAAAAGAAGGATTAAAAATTTTAGGTAGAGTGGTACAGTGGATTAGGGAGTATTTAAATGAGAGAAAGTAGAGAGTAACAATAAGTGACGAGGCATCAGAATGGGAGAGTAACGAATGGTGGTCCTTAAGGATCAGTACTAAGACAGTTACTTTTAATATGAGTGAATAATCTACCAGTGGGGCTTAAGTCCTATGTTGCTCAAAATAAATAACAAGAATAAGAACAGTGATAAACTCAACTCGCTTGAGTTTATCACTCTAGGCAGCAGAGAGTTTGCATAAATGGGGAGAAATCAGAGTGGGGAAGCGTCACGAGCGGTGTTCCACAGGGGTCAGTGTTGGGCCCCCTGCTGTTCACAATCTACATAAACGACATAGATGAGGGCATAAAGAGCGACATCGGCAAGTTTGCCGATGACACCAAAATAGGCCGTCGAATTCATTCTGACGAGGACATTCGAGCACTCCAGGAAGATTTGAATAGACTGATGCAGTGGTCGGAGAAGTGGCAGATGCAGTTTAATATAGACAAATGCAAAGTTCTAAATGTTGGACAGGACAATAACCATGCCACATATAAACTAAATAATGTAGATCTTAATATTACGGATTGCGAAAAAGATTTAGGAGTTCTGGTTAGCAGTAATCTGAAACCAAGACAACAGTGCATAAGTGTTCGCAATAAAGCTAATAGAATCCTTGGCTTCATATCAAGAAGCATAAATAATAGAGTCCTCAGGTTGTTCTTCAACTCTATACATCCTTGGTTAGGCCTCATTTAGATTATGCTGCACAGTTTTGGTCACCGTATTACAGAATGGATATAAATTCTCTGGAAAATGTACAAAGGAGGATGACAAAGATGATCCCATGTATCAGAAACCTTCCCTATGAGGATAGACTAAGGGCCCTGAAACTGCACTCTCTAGAAAGACGTAGAATTAGGGGGGATATGATTGAGGTGTATAAGTGGAAGACAGGAATAAATAAAGGGGATGTAAATAGTGTGCTGAAAATATCTAGCCTAGACAGGACTCGCAGCAATGGTTTTAAGTTGGAAAAATTCAGATTCAGGAGGGATATAGGAAAGTACTGGTTTGGTAATAGAGTTGTGGATGAGTGGAACAAACTCCCAAGTACCGTTATAGAGGCCAGAACGTTGTGTAGCTTTAAAAATAGGTTGGATAAATACATGAGTAGATGTGGGTGGGTGTGAGTTAGACCTGATAGCTTGTGCTAACAGGTCGGTTGCCGTGTTCCTCCCTTAAGTCAATGTGACCTGACCTGACTAGGTTGGGTGCATTGGCTTAAGCCGGTAGGAGACTTGGACCTGCCTCGCATGGGCCAGTAGGCCTTCTGCAGTGTTCCTTCGTTCTTATGTTATGTTCTAAAGACCTCGACACACGGTGGCCTGCCTGGTGGCAAAAGCTCTCGCTTCATAAGGCAAGCGTCCGGGTTCGATTCCCGGTGAGGGATGAAATATTGGGCGTGTTTCCTTACACCGGTTGCCTATGTTCAGTCATTAGTATAAACTGGGTACCTGGGTGTAAGTCTACTTGTGTGGGTCGCATCCCGGGACAAAATTGACTTAATTTGTCCGAAACGCTCTGCATAACATAGTAGTATATATAGTAGTATGTCACTAATGTCAGCTAGGCCTGTATACCTTGTACATGTACTTGTAGAAATAAAGATATTATTATTATTAAGCAAGTGGTTTCTAGAGTTCCACCCAAATAAATGCAGGGTCATGTGAATTATAAAGAATGCCAGACCGGACACAGCACAGCATGGGCGAAGAGAAGAATAACCCTCGTTTAGTTGATAGGCCTTAAACCCAGTTAACCCACCAACCGACTGTGAGATCACAGTAAATATCAGAGTAAAAAGGACCTGGGGATGAATATAACGCCAAGCATATCGCCACACATTCACGTAAACCCTGTAACATCAGTAGTATATGCGATATCAGAACCTTATACAAGACATATACATATATTAGGCCAGTCATTGAGTACACGGCCCCGGGATAAAGGTTACACTTGGTCAAGCAAGCCAAGAAACTCGAAAAGGTCCAAAGATTTGCCACCAGGATAGTACCAAAACCGAGCAGTAGTAAACAGTCAAGTCGTAGGCTGCCACGGTGAAAACCTATTTTTCATATAGCCGATATAAAGGACAAATCATAGAAGTCTTTGTTGATGATATTAGAATCTCTATGAGGACGTCCGTGGAAAACAGCAAAATTCCAGTGGGCCTCAGAGAAGAATATAATGTTTAATTAAAGAGTACAACTTTCAGTTACTCCACTATGGAAGAATGGGGGAAATAAAGACGTAATGGAGTACAGGACAAACTAAAATAATTCAGAAGAGTAAAAACTACATGTGCTATACTTGGGAGTACTGATGTCAGATCTCACATTCAAGGATCACAACAATGTTGCTATTGCTATCGCAAGGAAAATTATAGGTTGGATAACCAAAACGTTCAAGCCAAGAGATGCTGAGGCAGTGATGATAGTTTAAGTGACTTGTTCTCTCTAGGCTGGAAAAATGCTGTATACTAACGGTCCCTTTCAAGGCAAGCGAGGTTGCTAGCTAGAAACTGAGAGCTTCCACATTCAGTCAAGCATCTGAACTGCTGAGAATGCTTAATGTCTCTTCAATTTGGAACGTAGGCGAGAAAGTCGTAACATAATTTACACCTGGAAAATCCTAGAGGGACTGATCCCAAACCTGAACACTGAAATCACTAGATATGACAACAGACTTGGCAGACATCACTTGCAAAGAATACTTTACAAGCTCATCAAATCAGTTACTGGTCAACCCTGCTGTGGTTCGTACGTTGGACTGCGTGGGTGATCATGCCTTGATCCACCAGGAGGATTGGTCTGGCACCAGTCTATGGAGGGGGGGGGGGTTACCTGGAGGTTATTCCGGGGATCAACGCCCCCGCGGCCCGGTCCATGACCAGGCCTCCCGATGGATCAGGGCCTGATCAACTAGGCTGTTACTGCTGACCGCACGCAGTCCGACGTACGAGCCACAGCCCGGCTGACCCCAGAAAAATCCTCTGGGGAGGTTGAAGGAAATGAACCTAATGACCTTAGAGGAGAAAAGGACAGAGGATGACAAGATTATTATATGCAAAATTTTACGAGGAATTGATAGGACACATATGGACGGTCTGCTTGAATTAACAAGACTAGGATCAAGGAAACATGTGTTAGCTGAAAACGCAGATGAACATTAAAGATATGCAAGGAAGTATTTCTCTCGCCTTAAGGTAGCTGAGAAGTGGAATGATCTGATGAGGCAAATTCGATACACAGTTTCAAGAGCAGATATGGTAAGGAAGCCAGAAGTCTCTGATGCCAATTCAAGTAATCTAGGAAGTGGAACCAGGAGCTAGGTCTTAACTTCCACAAACTCCTTGGCAAGTACAACTCAGTGAGTGTACACACAGTTCTTAGTGGTTAAGTTTGGTGTGTGGTGATAACTTTTGGTTGGAGACAGATACGAGGGTATACACAGCTGGCATCAAAGACACCCACAACCTTCACACTTGGCTGTCTGACTCTCACTCAACAACTTTATGACATAAAGCTTGATTTATAGTTTTAACCCATAACCGAGACTCTTCAACTGATAAAATTCATTGAGTTATACATGTATATATGTGACACTAACCTGTTATTTTGACGAGTGCTGATACGGATGAGCAAATATCCATGACGGAAAGAGTTGGGTAGGACAAATACTGCAGCTTGTGGGGGAGGAGTGTGAGGAAGGTGCAATATGCAAGACTAGGAAGGTATGAACGCGCGTGCGTGCGCGCGCGCGCGCCAGGAAGGGAGAGTATTGGGTAGCAGGTGACCACACTGAGGAGTTACTGCAGCTGCCGCTACCAGACAGCCCCGGCACACACCACACCCACTACCCCAGAATACCTCACTCCTCCCTAGGGTACTTGTCTCCACCACCAGGAACCCCTGGCAGGGTGTCCACGGGGGTTGTGTCACTGCCAGACTGCTACCAGTCCCTGCTGGTGAGATACTAGCAGTGTACTCACCTATTTGTGGTTGCAGGGGTCGAGTCTTAGCTCCTGTGTGTGTGTGAGGGAGGGGTGGCTGTGGTTACACACGAGTAGAGGAGTGACAGGCAAGGGTTGTGGAGTCAGGAGTGTCTGGTGCGGTAGTGGGGTCAACGTAAGAGCTCCAGGAATGTATACTTGTGTGGCCAGCACAGAGGTGACCACCACCCGCTGCTGTTACACACTAAACACTAAGAACACACTTGGCGACATCAAACACACACACAACACACCCCCACACAGCACCAGTCAAGGCGACACTAATCCTCTCTTCTGGGCTGGCATGTGGGGGAACCGCGCTGCTGCTGCTGCTGCCGCGGGGAACTTGCGCGCGCACCTCCCTCTACCTCACCCTAATTCCTCCTCCACCAACACTGTCATAGCCTTCACACATACATGTTCTCTGTGGCAGTAAGCACTTGGGAGGGGGTGGTGTGCTGAGGTAGGTCAGTGTACTTACCTATGTGTGGTTGCAGGGGTCGATTCATAGTTCGTGGCGTGCGCGTGCGTGCGTGTACATAGAGGGGCAGAATGTCCTCAGCCACCATCACAACCTTTGTGTTGGAAGACAGGGTGGGGCAGCAGTGGCGGACCAGGGAAGGCAGAGAGGGGCACGAGGGGAGAGAGAGTGAGGGAGGGGGGACACATGGTAGAGTCGTCCACCACCACACTTCCATTACACCCTCTCCCCCACCTCCATTAATGTTTCCCAACCCACCCTAAAATTACCCCCTCCTCCTCTTTCCCTATTATGTACCCAGCAGAGATGCCCTCCCTCCCTACCTCCCCATCCCCCAACCCAACAACACACTCCGTTATTCCTGCCCATCACCGCCCCACCCACAAACCCTCCCCCCCACAAAACAGTCTGCATTAATATCAGAATAGGGCAGCAACATACTGCTAATGTATCCAAATTTATTAAAAATAATGTCCCCATCCTAGGTGTCGCGCAGCTCACTGGTAAAAGAATTCAACTCACAATCGTGAGGTACTGAGTTCGATTACCGTGGAGAATAATCTGTGCAAGTTTCATCACATCAGTGTTAGTGAAGCTTCAGTCCTTGTGAACTGTCACTTGTGTGCAAGATACTCAAAGAGTAGTGGTCAACAGAGTTAAATCGGAGGCTGCCATAGTGAAGAGCTCTGTTCCACAAGGCACAGTACTCGCCCCCATCTTATTCCTTATCCTCATATCAGACATAGACAGAGATATACATCACAGCACCGTATCATCCTTTGCGGATGATACTAGGATCTGCATGAGGCTGTCATCTGCTGAGGACGCGGTTAACCGCGTCCTCAGCATAGCAGCATATGCTGCTATGTATGATAATTCTATGTAACTGTATTTGTGTATACCTGAATAAATTTACTTACTTCCAGTGGGCAACGGTAAGCAATATGATGTTCAATGAGGACAAATTCCAACTACTCCGTTATGGAAAACTGGAGGAAATAATAACTAGAACAGAGTATACTACAGACTCTGGCCATACAATAGAGCGGAAAAATAATGTAAGGGACCTGGGAGTAGTAATGTCTGAGGATCTCACTTTCAAGGATCACAACAGTGCCACGATCGCACGTGCAAAGAAAATGATAGGATGGATAATGAGAACGTTCAAAACGAGAGATGCCAAGCCAATGATGATCCTTTTCAAATCACTTGTTCTCTCTAGGCTGGAATACTGCTGTACATTAACATCTCCATTCAAAGCAGGTGAAATTGCAGATCTAGAGAGTGTACAGAGATCCTTTACTGCACGTGTAAGTTCTGTCAAGCACCTTAACTACTGGGAACGCTTGGAAGCACTTGACTTGTACTCGTTGGGACGCAGAAGGGAGAGATATATCATAATCTACACCTGGAAAATCTTGGAAGGAATGGTCCCAAATCTGCACACAGAAATCACTCCCTACGAAAGTAAAAGACTGGGCAGGCGATGCAAAATGCCCCCAATAAAAAGTAGAGGCGCCATTGGTACACTAAGGGAAAACACCATAAGTGTCCGGGGCCCAAAACTGTTCAACAGCCTCCCATCAAGCATTAGGGGAATTGCCAATAAACCCCTGGCTGCCTTCAAGAGAGAGCTGGACAGATACCTAAAATCAGTGCCGGATCAGCCGGGCTGTGGCTCGTACGTTGGACTGCGTGCGGCCAGCAGTAACAGCCTAGTTGATCAGGCCCTGATCCATCGGGAGGCCTGGTCATGGACCGGGCCGCGGGGGCGTTGATCCCCGGAATAACCTCCAGGTAACCTCCAGGTATCCAGGCATACCTACTGGAGGTATTAAAATGCTGAGTTATATCTATCATAATCTGTGCAAGATAATGCAATGATGAACCAAACCAGTGGCCAGTGGCCTGGTGGCAAAAGCTCTCGCTTCATACGGCGAGCGTCCGGGTTCGATTCCTAGCGAGGGTTGAAACATTGGGCGCGTTTCCTTACACCGGTTGTCTATGTTAACCCATCAGTATAAAATGGGTACCTGGGTGTTAGTCGACTGATGTGGGTCGCATCCTGGGACAAAACTGACCTAAGTGGCTCTCTATATAGTTGTATGTTATTGATGTCAGCTAAGCCTGTATACCTTGTACATTTACCTGTGGAAATAAAGACATGTTATTATTATTATTATTATTATTATTCTTGAAAGAATAGGCTCAGTAGCACTAGAAGAATACTCCAGATATATACCATTACGAAGGCCGAGAAAGTGCAAGTCGGAAGGGGAGAGGCGCCCCCTCTGTAGATGAAGACGACGAATAACAAGAACTCCTGAAAGACATCAGATTCTCTGAAGAACGGGAAGTAAAACTGACGAGAGAATTGGAGAAGGTTGAACTCTAGTTAACTGCACCATACAAAGTCCAGGAGAGAGAGAGAGAGGAAGCAAAACGTCATAAATGACAGAGAAATCTAAAACTTCTTGAACCAACAGTCACACTCAAGTGAACTAATCCCGACTCTGCAACAAATTTATTATGCCAGCAAATACCAGGAACGGCCAGACCAGAAAATAACCTGTCATCTCTCATCATCACTAGTTGTCATCATCTATTCTTTCTCACCAGCTGTCATTATCTCTCATCATCACTAGTTGTCATCATCTATTCTCTCCCACCAGCTGTCATTATTCACCAGCTGTTTTCTCCCAACAGCTGTCATCTCTCCCCATCACCAGCTTTCATCTCTTACCATAACCAGCTGTTTTCACATCAGCTGTTTTCTTTCACATCGCCAGCTATCATCCCTCATGACTGGCTGTCATCTCTAACCATCACCAGCTGTCACCTCTATCACCAGATGTCAACCCTAACCTTCACCAAATGTCATCTCTAACCATCACCAAATGTCATCTCTAACCATCACCAAATGTCATCTCTAACCATCACCAAATGTCATCTCTAACCATTACCAAATGTCATCTCTAACCATCACCAGATGTCATCCCTAACCATCACCAGATGTCACCTCTAACCATCACAAAATGTCATCTCTAACCATTACCAATGTCATCTCAACCATCACCCGCTGTCATATCTAACCATCACCAGCTGTCATCAGGTCATCAACAGGCTTCTCACCACCACCTATCATTACTCACCATCACTACCTGTCATTACCATTATGAGTCATCACCTTCACCTGTCATCACTCTTCTTCACCACCTGTCCTCTCATGATCACCAGCAGTTATTACATCACCATTTATCATTACTCGCACTAGCTGTCATTACTACCATCACCAGCTGTCATCTTTCTCCATCACCACCTCCCATCACCACTCGCTGCTGTCATCACCATCACCAGCAGTTATTACTACCATCACCACCGATCATCTCTTACCATCACCAGCCGTCAACTTCTCACCAGTAGGAGCTATGATCTTTCACCATTAGCAGCTGTCATTACTACACAGTTGTCATCTCTCACCATTAGCGACTGGCATTACTACCATCACCAGCTGTCACTACTGCCATCACCAGCTCTGACTTCCCACATTATCAAAATCTTTTAACAGGTTTTAAGAAGTAATATTTCTAACCACATGGAATCGCAGTTGTACAACCCAGGTCAACAAGGGTTCACAACACCTCACTCCCATTTTTCGCAATTGCTGGATCATGACAACATGGTCTTGGTTGTACTTGAAGACAAGAAGCAAATGCAGATGTAATGTACATCTAATTTGTAACAAATGCGACCATGGGGCGACAGCGACCCCCCCCCCAATAAATAACGCATAACGAATAACTGGAATAGTGGGCAGATAGGTGTTAAACTTCCTATTTAACTTCCTAATAGGTTAGGTAAGGTTTGTCAGGAAACAGGACATGTGTTTTCTTGACGCGGGTCTTAGTCATATGATGACCCGCAGCTGGAGCCTTTGGTCATCTGAACGAGGCCTTCCGCTGGCTTAGCTTTCCACCCCTTTAAAACGTATAATTGGTTTATATAGAACCCAAAGAGTAATAGTAGTAAACAATGAAATCAGGGTCTGCTACAGTGAAGAACTCTGTTGCTCGCAGCACTTTTCATCGCTTGCAGACGATACTACTGTAGAATCTGTGGGAGAGTGGCACTTAAAGAGATCACAGCGAGCCTCCAAGCTGATGTCAATGAAGTCTTCCTGTGGGTTACTAACAATATGCTGTTCAGTGAAGACAAACTTCACTTACCATACAAAAAAGATGCGAGTAAACTGAAGCAACATCAGAGTACAAACTCAAAGCATTCAATGTAATGTAACTCTAAAAGTCTAACGTGAAAGATCTGGGATCAATATGTGAAAAGATTTCATGTACAAAGAGCACAACAATGTCGTTATCACAGCTAAAAAGAAAATTATATGCTGGATAACTAGAACTTCTAAAACAAGAGATACTAAGCCAATGATACTGATCAGGTCATTCATTCATACTAGGTTGGAAGATTGCTGTGTTAACGGCCCCCTTCATGGTACGGAAAATTGAAGATTAGGAAAATGTACAAAGAATCTTTACAGCTCGTATACATTCAATCAAAAACTTACATTACTGGAAGTAGCTCAAGTCCATCGAACTGTATTACTTAAAACGTGAGAAAGACGAATCATAATCTACACCTGCAACATTCTGTTTCCCTTGCGAATTCTGGGGTGTATGGGGTTCACTACTGTAATAAACTATCCGGGTGGTTAACACATCGCTCAACACTGTTTCATACTGTTCTTTTAATATCGCTCATCTCTTTCTCGTCATGGGTACATGAACATCCTGAAAGTAATGGGCCTGTAATAGCAATGATTTTTGACTTTGATTTTGCGCATATGCAAAAATATATATTTTTTCTTTTTAGCTGTTTCCTGAACGGGGTTTTGTTCCTATTATGCTTCTTGCGTCTGCA